ATTGTTTTGTTTGTTTGTCTTTTTGAAAACAAGGTTTCATTATGTGTAGCTCAGGCTGGCCTTGAACTCAGAGATCCACCTGTCTCTGCCTGCTGAGTGCTAGGATTTTTTATTTTATTTTTATTTTTTATTTTTGGTTTTTCAAGACAGGGTTTCTCTGTGTAGCTTTGCTCCTTTCCTGGAACTCTCTCTGTAGCCCAGGCTGGCCTCGAACTCACAGAGATCCGCCTGGCTCTGCCTCCTGAGTGCTGGGATTAAAGGCATGCGCCACCACACTCGGCCTAAATTGAAACCTAATCACCAATGTAATGGTATTTAACACATTTTTTTTAAATTTTTTTTTTTTAATGCCGAATGCTGTTTATTGAAGGAGGGAAGAGGTGGGAGAACCCCGGAGGGCAGAAGTTCACTACTGATGTTTTACAATCTTGCATCTAAGCTGTTAATGCCCATTATGCAGGATACACAGACAAGGAGCTTCCCTTAAGCATTCAGGAGGGTGGAACCCAGCAGGGAATTAGCATAGGGAGGATATCAAGGTCAAGGTCAGCAAGCAAGGCAACAGTTACGCAAAACGGGAGCCAGGGACCTACAGGTCCCCGCTTTTACTAAAAATGAGCTTCTGACTTAGGTTGCTTGGAACGTCAGCAGGTCACCTTACCCGTCATGGAGACACCTGCCCAGGCCACACAGGCGCTCTGTCTTAGGTTGGTGAGCGCCCCCCCAGGCATTACCCGTCTCTGAATATCATACAGGCTCAATTGTGTGTGAGCTGCAGAGTTAACTGCTGCCAAAGATCTCAAAGTGACGCTGGACTTGCAATCTGTGTGTTCGACACAGAGAAGACCAACAGAAGTCCTAACCCACCCATAGCCAGTAGGCTAAAGGCAACTGAGCCATTCCCTTCCTTAACGAGCCTTACTGCAAATTGGAGTTCTTGTAAGATGGTATCCCAAAAGCAAATGGAATTTGAGTTTATAAATGTATAACTTTCAAAGCCAATCGAAATGTATATAACTATTGAATTAAATTTATCATGCCCAATAGAATGAAAGATTAACTGTGGTAGCTACTTTTGCTGCCAGGGTCTCCACTGTTAACACATTCTTTTACTAGTTGATAAAGGAAAAGAGGTCATCATAGCCAGGATATATATTTAAAGAGTTATACTATCTACTGCTGAAAAGGAGGAAGAAGGTACACATAAATTCTGTTGATAGTGTGGATTTTACCTCCTTCTGGAGAAATATTCATCACTCCCAGCTGGAAAGACTGCTGTTCACCCCAGACAGAGCAAAGAAACAATCCCATCCATGTCCCACTTGGTGACCCCATAAGTTTATTTGTTACAGGAACAGAGGTGACTCTTAGGCAGCTTGTAATCCAGAAAAACCCTCCCTCAAATGAGTGACGACTCATAAAATTGGCATCAAGGTGGTCCCTTGCCCAACTCGCAGGCAGCTGTATCACTAAATGGTTTCCCCTCCCCAGCAGTTGCTTACCACTTAAATTACCTTGGGTTGGGAGGTGCTGGGGATGTAGCTCAGTTGGTAGCATGCTTACCTAACATGCAAAAGGCTCTGTGTTTCATTCCCAGCACTGTATAAATTGGGCATAGTGGTGTACCCATGTAATACCAGCACTCAGGGAGGAGGAGGCAGGAGGATCAGAAGTTGAAGGTCATCCCAAGTTGTAGATAACCTGGGATACATGAGACCCTATGTCAGATAAATAAATAAATAAATAAATAAATAAATAACCTTGGGGAAGGGCCTCTGGAGTCTTGTGGATTTCTTTTACTTTTTTATATGTATGAATATTTGCCTGTATATGTCCATGCACCACCTGCATGGCATGCCAGTGGAAGCCAAAACAGGACAGACATCATGTCCACTGGAACTGGAATCACAGATGTTTGTGAACTGCCGTGTGGATGCTGGAAGTCAAACCCTCATCCTCTGGAAGCTCTCCCAGTACTCCTAATTGCTGAGCCATCTCTCCAGCCCCTTGTGGGTTTCTTATTCTTGTGAGCTCCCCTTTCCTTCCAGGAAATCATGTTTCAATCTAGAGGAAACAGCTCCACAACAAAGTATAACAGAAACAGACCATTTTAGCCATGTTCAAGTATACAATTCTGTGGTATCAAGTATATTTACATTGTTGTACAGATACCACCACCATCTACCTCCAGGACATTCTTACCTTCCTCAGCTGAACCTCTGTCCTATCAACATGAACCCATTCATCCTCTCTCCATCCTTGAAACCACCATTTGATTTTCTCTTTGTAAATTTGTGTATTTTGAGTACTTCAAATAAGTAAATTATACAAATATTTATCCTACTGTGACAGATTTATTGTACTTATCATAATGTATCCAAGCTTCATATTATAGTGTATCAAAATTCCATTTAAGGCTGACTAATATTCTATTGCATGTATATCACATTTTCTTTATCCATTGCTCCATCAGTGGACACTTTGTGTTGATTTTTGGCTATTATGGATAATGTTGCTAAGAACATGAGTGTACAAATACATTTGAAGGCCAGTGAAAAGTCTCAGTTGGTAAAGGTACTTACTACCAATCTGATGACCTGACTTTGCTCATAAACATGAAATAATCAATCAAAAATTTTTAGTAGAGCCGGGCGGTGGTGGTGCACACCTTTAATCCCAGCACTCAGGAGGCAGAGGCAGGTGGATCTTTGTGAGTTCGAGGCCAGCCTGGTCTACAGAGCAAGATCCAGGAAAGGCGCAAAGCTACACAGAGAAACCCTGTCTCAAAAAAAAAAAATTTTTAAGTAGAGCTGGGCATGGTGGGCACACGCTTTTAATCTCAGCATTCAGGAGGCAGAGACAGGCAGATCTGTGAGTTCGAGGCCAGCCTGGTCTACAAAGAGAGTTCCAGGACAGCCAGGGCTGTTACACAGAGAAACCCTGTCTCAAACAACAACAACAACAACAAAATTAAGTAAATTATTTATATAGTCAAATTGTTTTAAAATAAATTTTATAATTTACTATTAGTAAATGTTTAATACTTATTTTATGTATCTTTATACCAGGAGCCTCATGGGAAAAAAAAGCTCTGATTTAAATAGCCTTTGAGGGTCAGTGAAATGTCTCAGTTGATAAGGGTCCTTGCAACCAGTCCAGTGACCTGAGTTTGCTTCCCAAGACAGCATGGTGGAAGGAGAGGACTGATTCCCTCATGTTGTGCTCGGACTTCTGCACACTCATCCTACTCCCCCACACAGTTATAAGTAAGTGTGTATATATATGTATATATATACACACACACACACAGCGTTTAAGCCCGCCTCCTGAATGCTGGGATCAAAGGTACATCAAAGATTTCACCCACGTTAGGCATGGCCATGTGACTCACTCTGACCAATGAAAAGTTAGAAGTGCTGTTTGTCCTGTCAGTCATAAATGTAGAGCCAAGACATATTTGACCAAGGACTCTTCCTTCTGCTAATAGTGGACATAATGAGCTAGGGCTTCTGTTGTCCAGAATGACTTCAGTGGGCCTATCATGGTCTGTACAAACACCCTAACCATTATTAAATGGGAGAACTAAGCTCAAAGATATTTCTAAGCAAATGCTCTACCACTGAGCCATTCCCCTAGTCCATGAAAGGCATTTCTAATAACACATACTTCATGTGAAGTGCTTTTGATGAAATACGTTTTCTGGTCAGCCTCGAATGCTAATCAAATGGTTATTATTGCCATTTTACCGCTGGTAGTGTTTTCTTTCTTTCTTTCTTTCTTTCTTTCTTTCTTTTAAGATTTATTTATTTGGGGAGGGGAAAAAAATTTATTTTTTTTATTATGTATACAATGTTCTGCCTACATGTTTGCCTGCAGGCCAGAAGAGGGCACCAGCTCTCATTATGGATGGTCGCGAGCTACCATGTGGTTGCTGGGAATTGAACTCAGGACCTCTGGAAGAACAGCCTGTGCTCTTAACCGCTGAGCCATCTCTCCAGTCCCAGGTAGTGCTTTCTAAAATTGTGAATAAAATTAAATGCAGTGAATTCAATGTTAAGATTTTGTTTGTAAATGAGATAAACTGAGTTTTTCACAGAGATTCAACCAACCACAGATTGAAAATATTCAAGCAGAGTGGGTGTAAATGCAAATACAGTACTCAAGTATGAATTTTTTGGGGGGTCGGGGCGGGTTTTGAGACAAGGTTTCTCAGTGTAGTTTTGGTGCTTGCCCTGGATCTTGCTCTGTAGACCAGGCTGGCCTTGAACTCACAGAGATCCTTGTGCCTCTGCCTCCCAAGTGCTGGGATTAAAGGTGTGTGCCACTGATGCCCAGCAAGCATGAACTTCTTAAAAAATAAATGTAAAAAAATCTTGAGGAAAAAATGTGTCCTATATATAGCCTTTGTCCTTGACATTGTTCCCTAAGCCATGCATGCTAATGTTTATGTGCAAAGCCATTCATTTGATTGGGTGTGATAATGATTTAAAGAAAAGCCTCCTAAACTGTGAGTCAAACCTTATATGGGGTCACACAACAATGACCAAAAAATCAACTCAAAATCATGAGTCAGGCTATGAGTGGTGGCACACACCTTACCCCCAGTACTCAGGAGCAGCAACAAGTGGATCTTGTGAATCTGAGGACAGCCTGGTATATATATAGCAAGTTTCAAGCTAACTGGGCTACACAGTGAGAACCAATTTTAAAAAGTGTGTGTGTGTGTGTATGTGTGTGTGTGTGTGTGTGTGTGTGTGTGTGTGTGTGTGTCTGTGTGTTGGGGGTGGGTAGGAGGTGGGACTGGAGAGATGGTTCAAAGTTAAGAGCATTCACTGCTCTTCCAGAGGACCCCGGTTCAGTTCCTAGCACCCACATGGTAGCTCACAACCATCCCTAACTCCAGTTCTGACAAGGGATCAGATAACTTCATCTGAGCTCTTTAAGCATCAGACACACACAACATTCATACACAAAACAATCAAATTATTTGCATACTAAAATTGTTTTAAAATAAATTTATTTATAATTCATTATCAGTAGTGCTTAATTTGAATACTTATTTTATGTACCTTTATACAAGGGGCCTCATGGAAAAAAATTAAGATGAATTAAGGCATATTGGAGAGGTGCTACAGAAATAGCTCAGAGGTTAAGTTGCCCTTACAGGGAATCCATATTTAGTTCCTAGTACCCGTATGGTTTTTCACAACCCTCTGTAACTCCAGTTCCAGAGGTCAAATGATCTCTTCTCGCCTCCACAGACACCAGGTATGCATGTGGCACACAGGCAAACACATTTTTTCAAATCTGTTAAAGTATATGGGAGAGCCAAGCCTGGTGGCACATGTCTTTAATCTCAGCACTCAGGAGACAGGGGCAAGTGGATCTCTGTGAGTTTGAGTCCAGCCTGGTCTACATAGCAGCAAGTAGAGGGCTACACAGTGAGCTACACAGTGAGATTCTGTCAAAGAAAGTATTTGGGAGGAAGAGCATGCATAGGTTCATTGCAAATACCTTACCATTTTATGGCACTTGAACATTCATGAATTTTTTTTAACGTTTCATTGTAATTTATTTCCCATTAATTTCTTTTTTTTTTTTTTTTACAAAGAAAAAACATTTAATTGGGGTGGCTTACATTTTCAGATTTAGTCCATTATCATCATGGTGCAACATGGTGGCATTCAGGCAGACATGGTTCTGGAGAAGTAGCCGAGTGGCTTACATCTTGACTTGCAGACAACAGGAAATGGTCTGTCTTACTGGTTTGAGCATATATGAGACCTCAAAGCCTACCTCCACAGTGACACTCTTCCTCCAACAAAACCACACCTACTCCAAAAAAGCTACACCTCCTAATAGTGCCACTCCCTTTGGGGGCTATTTTCTTTCAAACCACCACATTCCACTTTCTGGCCCCCAAAGGCTTGTAACCATATTATAATGCAAAAAATGCATTCAGTCCAACTTCAAAAGTCCCCATAATCTTTAACAGTCTCAAACTTATTTAAAAGTCTAAAGTTCAAAGTCTCTTCTGAGATTCATGCAATCTCTTAACTACAATCCCCTGTAGAATTGTGGCTCTGCCTCTTCTTCAGAATCGTTGGTACATTATTCCATGAGAAAGGAAGAAGCAGAAGCAGGGAACAGGGTTCAGGCAGCTGTGGGTATGACAGAGACAGCCCTCTGGGAGATGACTTTGTTGAAGCAGCTCAACTTTATTCCAGAGTCTAAGGAATATATAGGGTTAGGAAGCCTGGGAACAAACCCTAATTTGCATTAAGTGGCATGCTCTGTCATAAGGCTTTGTATGTAGCTGCAGGATCCTATAGCAGAGCTCCTAGTACAAGTCTTAGTTACCACATGTGCAGCAGGAAAAAGGTTTCCAGCAGGACACTGTGTCAAGGGTCACCCTAGAGATAAATCAGTCATCCAGGCTTAGAGACAGCTTTCAGATAACGTCAGTCCTCTGGGCCCAGAGACATTCTCCAGATAAGGACAGGTAGAGAGCAGGAAGTCTCTTGGAGGCAGGGTCGGGGGTGGGGAGTCCCCATATCATTGAGCTTTGGAAAAAGCTGCCAGGCCATGATAGACCAGCAAGGCCTTCCAACATAAAATTGAAATAAAAAAGATCACACACTTCCAACATATAATGGCACAGGATATACATTACCATTCCAAAAGATAGGGAAGGGAGCATAGTGAGGAAATACTGGACCAAAGCAAGACTGAAAACTAGCTGGGCAAATTCTAAACTCTGCATCTCCATGTCTGATGTCAAAGTGTTCTTCAGAACTCCAACTCCATTCAGCTTTGTTGACTGCAACACACTTCTTTCTCTTGGGCTGGTTCCACTCCCTGTTAGCAGCTCTACTCAGCAGATATCCCACGGCTCTGGCATCTCCAACATCTTGGAGTTTCCAAGGCAATCCAGGCTTCAACTTTACAGCTTCATGCAATGGCCTCTCTAGGCCTCCATTCAGGGACACCCCAGATACATGCCTGGCCTCAATGGTTTTCCTTACATGCAGAGGCAAATTCCATATTCCATTTTTTCTATCCTTAACTCCAGAACCACGTAGCTGAAGCTGCCAAGTTCTGCTGCTTGCTGGGGCTGGAACCTGGTCCCCTTGTTCAATTATATCTTCACCAGCTTTCTGTTTTCCTTCACTGTCTAAGCTTGGCTGTCCTTGAACTTGCTCTGTAGACCAGGCTGGCCTCAAACTCAGAGATCTTTCAGCCTCAGCCTTCCAAGTGCTGGGATTAATGGTGTGTACCATCACACTCAGCTCTAAGATTTTCTTTAATTCCTTTTCACAAGTTGGAAACTTAGCTGGGTGGGATCTTGCCCTGAGGTCACCAGTCCCTTTATTCCATTTCTTAATCTGTTTATCTTCTTGAACACAGGATTTAGCTCCATTCCACTTCCTGGTGCTCCTTTTTTCTTCAAATATTTTTCCTTGCTCAGCTCGCTCTTTTTCACTATATGCCTTCATTAGAGTTAAGGCTAGTAACCACACAACAGAGTCAATACTAGGCTGGTTTGAGGTATCCGCTACCAAGGGAATTATTCCAAAGCTCTTCACTTTAGACTTGGGCAGCCTTTTTGGACAAGGGCAAAGAGCAGCCACATTCTTCACCAAACCATCACAAGAACGATTTCTAGGCAACATACTAAAATTCTTCTCCTCTGAAACATCTTGAGGCAGCTCCCCCACAGTTTAAATAACTCTTAGCATCACTGTCTTTTATGCCCCTACTAGTATGGCCCATCAAGCAGTGCTTAAAGCATTCCACTGCTTTTATAACCCAAAGTACCAACACCCAAATTCCTCCAAACAAAAGCAGAGCATTCATGAATTTTGATAATCTATGAGGGCCCAGAATCCAAACCATGTGAATACTTTAAATTAATCATTAATGTAAATGAAATGTGTTTTTCAGCTACATTTAGTGACTCACTTTACCTCCAAGAGTCCCACACACAAGAGTGCATGCAAGTGACCAGGAAGTAGGGAAAGGGGTCCTAGGCCCCAAGCTTCAAAAGATTGGTGCCCTGGACCCAAGGGGAGAAATAAAACCAGCAGAACAGCCAGAAGGAACAGGGTCCAAGGCCTGCCACTGCAGTAACCTTGAAGCAGGAAAGAGGTAAGGCCTGGGAATTGGGAGTGGAGCCAGGAGGCACAAAGTCAAGGCCAGCTATAAAAACCACTGCCCGGTTCTAAGCAGGTGGCAGAGGGGACAAAGTTTGTGGTCTTTGTCAGCTCACCCAATCATGAAAACAGCTTTGTCAGGATGAGCAAGCCTGATGTGGCCCACAGAATGCTATTGGGGACAGAATAGATAGTAGGGAGCCTGAATCTAGGACCCACAGCCATTTCCCAGTTAGCAGCCATCTGCCAAGAAGAGACCTTCATTGGGATTCCCTCAAGTACTCCATGGAGTCTCAGGCTCATAGCCACAGCTTCCTTAACCTGTACATCTCAGGTTCTGTGCCATGCATTATTTCTTAATTAGGCAGAAAGCAGGGCATGGTCATTTTAGCATTTGGGAGGAGAAGGCAGGAGGATCAAGAGTTTAAGGTCATCCTTAGCTATAGAGGGAGTAACCTAGATTATAAGAGTACGAGGCTAGCCAGGTCTACAAAGGATGGCTAGGGCTGTCTCAAAAAACCAAAAAACAACAACCAAAAAAAAAAAAAATTAAAAGTTTAGGAGAGCCGGGCATTGTGGCACATTCCTTAATCCTAGCATTTGGGAGGCAAAGGCAGGTGAATCCCTCTGAGTTTGAGGCCAGCCTGGTCTACATAGTGAGCTCCAGAACATCCAGGGCTATATAGAGAGATTCTATCCCAAAACAAACAATATATTCTGGGAGAAATAGAAATATATTTTAGTAATCTAACTAATATGTATAATACAAAAAATGATCTATAAGATAGTGTGTAAAAGGGCCAATGATATGGCTCAGTGGGTAAAGGCACTTGCCATGAGAATCTGGCAAATTGAGTTAGAATTACATAAAGACAGGAAAGAACCAACTCCACAAAGTTGTCCTCTGACCTCCACATGCCTGCCTTGTCACAAGTGTATGAACACAGTAATAAAAATAGCCACATGCAATAATGCATAGTATATTGTAATATGTAATTATGATACACAATATATATTATGTATAAAAATATTATAACCAGACATTTATGCATGATCCTCTTTATAACCAAATAAAAAAGGCATAAGGTTCATGAAAAAAAATATTAGATTAACTGAGAGTAAAAATGGGGGCTGGAGAGATGGCTCAGCAGTTAAGAACACTGGCTGCTCTTCCAGAGGTCCTGAGTTCAATTCCCAGCAACCACATGGTGGCTCACAACCATCTATAATGTAATCTAATGCTCTCTTCTGCTGTACAGACATACATGCATACAGAGCACTCATATACATAAAATACACAAGTAAAAATACGTAAATATTGTGCCACACAAACTTGAAGACCTGGGTTCGGATCCCCAGGATCCATATAAATGCTCAGGAGATGGAGAGAGGAGGTTTGTGGAGCAAATTGGCATAGCCAAATAAGCAAACTCTGAATAACTATGGAAGACAATGGATGTTGTAGCAAGAGATCTCAAAGAGCATTGCATCTGGCTTGAATTCCAGAATGTTAGCACCTAGGCTTTGAACTGCCTTTTGTAATTGTCTTTTGTGATTGTTACCTTTGTTCGAAGTGTTTGATTATTATCTGAGTTCTTCCTGAAGGATTCAGAGCCTTTGCAAAACTTAGTTATGAGATGACTTAGAAAACCAAGATGTCTCATAGCTAAAAATTGCTTGGGCAAATGGTTCCTTCAAATAACTTCAGATAAGAGGTTTTGGTATTTGGAAATTGTCTTGCTAAGAGGTGTAAAGTGTGTAACAATAAAAGAAGGTTTTTGTGAAGCAATGGGTAGTCAGTTCACCAGAAGCCGGCTCCTCTGCTGCTCTGCTAAACCAAAATTCATCTTGGAGTGACCCTAATTCTTCCATGGGCCCATGCAAAACAGAACACCAACAGGATGTCAACTTCTCCTCTCCACATGCATGCACACAGCCATGCATACCACATACACATACACATACACACAAAAAGAGTAAAGAAAACAACTCAAGAGGTTAAGTGTTCAAAGGGGAAGGGACATGCATTGCAGGGGACAAAGGCATACCTCGAATCCCAGGACAGGAGGCAGCTGGTCATACCATGACCCGATTTGGGGATTGCAGGGTGGCCAGATTCTCCAGCAGCTCTCGGGCTTTCTCTAGGCATCTGCCTCATTCCTCTGGCTTTTTGGCCTGGCTTTTTTTTCTGATACTTAGTAGACAAGGAAGAGAAAAGGGCCATTGTTTCACTGTCCCCATCCACAGAGAAAAGAGATCTAATGCTAGATCCCAGATTTCTTGGAGACACAGGCCCAGGTTGGGTCAAGAGTTCTTTTAGTTCTATTCAGTAGTAGTGAGGGACTTAGGGAGATCACACACAAACATGTAACTGCTATGGCCCTTTATCATGACTCCAAGGAAGATAAAGAATACTCAGGATATATATATGGACTTAAAGTTATTTGGTACAAATTCCAATGGGTAGCTCTGGATGCAGACAGCAGAGAGACTCTACTCACCAAGCCCATTCAAGGACACAGAGACACAGAAACACAAAGTGCTATATGAAAATAACAATTTAATTTGCTAAGAATACAGCAACCTCTACCCTGTTCCCTCTGCAGATAGATGCTCAGCCAGGGGGACAAAATAACCTGAGATGAGGCCCTGATCAGAGGTGAGCAGGGGGCTGGGGTGAGGAGTCTTTTCGGCCTTCACCAGCAATGGGCCTGCCTCGCTCCTCCCAGATAGTGAGGCCATCACAGGAACAGATCTGCTTGGGGTTCTGGAAAAGGCCAGCAGAGCGTGCGATGATGCCACAGGCCAACCTGTGGAAGGATGTATGGTCAGCATGGGCCTTCTCTAGGCCTCCTCAGGGTTCCATGTGCCCTACTGGCACATCAGTGCCTCCTGCTGTGGGTGGCAAGACTCACCTCTTGCCAGAGTTCCCTGTGATCTTGGATAAGGGATGGTTTCCCCGGCCCAGGTCATCTTCTCCTTCATCAATAACCACGCTGCGACCAATCACATCCCACACCTTTGAAGGGAAACAACAGTCTCGACTCCACTGTTCTTCGAGGAGGGTCCCCACATTCTTCCCATCTTACCTTCAGGTGTTTATCCTCTATCCGGAAGGTGGATCGGCCGTCAGCCTCAGCCAGGATGTTGCCCAGATCTCCCCGGTGCTGGAATGAGGCCCCACAGGGAAAAGAAAGTTACACAGTCACGGCTGGTATCTTCTGCTTTCCCAGCACCTGATTCCTCATCCCATCTCCCCAAGCTTCTAATTTCCTCCTGCAGGTGTCATTTGGAAGGACTCAAAGAAGATCCTGGACACTCCCTTCCCTGGGAGTGAAATCCTGGGCAGAAAGCCACCATGCTGAAAAAAACCAGCATTCTCTGTTAGACTCAACTTCTTTCCCTACGAACCCGTTGTCTACCTGGCTTCCATTCCCAATTAGCTAAATTCCTGTTCCTTCCTAAGCCCAAATGTCCAGTTGCTCTGGAAGCCCTAGGCAAGCCTCCATTCCCCAAGGCTTAAGTTGGCTATGTTTGGCTTTTCTGACCATCACAGTGACCAGCATTACTTTCCTGGCTCCCAGCCTCAAGGAACAAGAGGGAAGAAATATGAGTGGGCAAAGAGATGGCTTTGCCCACGTCTCCCTTGAAAAGTCACAGAGGCTAGGGAAATGGCTCAATGGTTGTTATGCAAGTACGGACCAGAGCTCAGATTCCCAGCAGTCATGTGAAAGCTTATCACATGACCATAATCCCAGTGCTAGGGGTACAGAAATAGGTGGGTCCTGGGAGCTCACCAGTCAGCCAATCTAGTGAAAACAGCAAGCATCGGTTTCTATGAAGAGACTCTGTCTCAAACGAATAAAGTGGAGAGCAATAAAGAAAGAAACGGAAGTCAACCTCTGGCCTCCACACACACAGGGACAGGCCTCCCCAGACACAGGACACACACACAATGTGTGTGTACTCCCCAGTGAAGACATTCTGCCGGGTATAGTGAGCAGTGTACACACTCCCCACTTTTAAAAGCGTCCAATATGAAACAGAGCAAGGACAACAGATACTGAGTTTTGAGGTGACAGGACCCAAGTGGTGAGCCACAGAAACCTACATCTGTGAAAAAAAAAAAAAAAAAAAAAAAAAAAAAAAAAAAAATCATTTCCAAACTGATTCACGAGCAGACGCAATGCCTAGGTTGGAGTGAGCTGGTTCCCATAGTCTCACAGCTGAGCAATGAAGAATGTCAGTGGCTTCTCTGGTCATAGTGGCCCACACCTTTAACCCCAGCACTTAGGAGGCAGAGGCAGACAGAGCTCTGTAAGTTTGAAGCCAAGCTCGTCTACACAGAGAGTTCCAGGACAGTCAGGGCTACACAGAGAAACTACATCTAAAAAATACAAAAAACAAACAAACAAAAAACGAACAAATAAACCCCCCCACTCAAAAAAACAAAAAAAAAAGACAGTTGGCTTCTATTTTATCTGATCTAGAGAAACAGTTGGCAGGCATCTGGCATTTTTTTTTGTCACACTGCCATATGCTAAAGAGAGTTCAAGGTGGGGAAGATGAAGAGGACCTTGCCAACTGCTTCTGGGGTTGAAGAATAAGCCGGGCAGAATGACTGAGGGCATGACCTTAAAGGGGGTCAGGGAAAACAGCCTTTTCAATCCCTCCCCAAGAACTGGTCAGAGAGGCCTTCAATGCCACCCCAGGATGCTGGGCCCAGCCTGTATTTTTAGGTCCTAAGGAACCAAGAAGGGTTTCCACATGGTGCATGGCAAGGCTCCTTTATATGTCAGAGGAATCCCATAGTATAGTAGAAAGGACTAGAGAGAGTGAGAGGGGAGGGAACCTGAGAGAGAGACTGTTAGCAGGTATGCAGGAGACAGCCAGGCTTGGATGTAATTTCCCATGCTGACTTTAATTCCATCTGGACAGGCCAGGTGCTGACACCCAGAAGAAACTTGCTGAATACTGTGCTGTCTCCACTACTCTACTCCACTCTTGCTCGTTTTTAGTCCATTTTCTGGAGAGATGGCTCAAATGGTTTAAAATCCAAATAATTTTAGAGTCTTATATATGCTACATATATGCTCTACAAACAGGCTACACCCATAACTTTTTGGGTTTTATTTTTACCTTTATTTCTCTCTCTCTCTCTCTCTCTCTCTCTCTCTCTCTCTCTCTCTCTCTCTCTCTCTCTCTCTCTCTCTCTCTCTCTCTCTCTCTCTCTCTCTCTGTGTGTGTGTGTATGTGTGTGTGTCTGTGTATGTCTGTGCATATTGAAGTGAGACAACTTACAGGAGACAGTTTTCTCCATCATGTGGGTTTCTGGGTCAACCTCAGGTTGTCAGGATCAGCAACAAATGTCTTTATGCCATTTTGTTTTTGTTTTAGAGATGGGGTCACAGGTAACTCTGAGTAGCCTTGAACTTGCTAGGCAGCCAAGGCTGGCCTTAAATTCCCAATCTTCCTAACTCAGCCTCCCCAATACTGGGATTACAGACATGTGTCACTATACCTAGGACAATTCTCTTAGTTTTATTTCCTTGGTCCCTTCTGATCCCATCCCAAGTGGGGTCGGAGGGCGAGGACACAAGTACCATGGTAATCTTTGCCTTTTAGGAACATGCCTGCTGTCGTGACTTAGCTGGTTTCCTCTGCCAGATCTGCCACCCCCAATCTCACCTCGTCCACACGGAGAGCTCCTCATCCTCATCCTTCAAACCCAAGGAGGCAGAGACCCTACAGATGCCCCTTCCTGTATTCACATTCTTTATGATTTACTCACTTTGGTGTGGACTGGATCAAGCATCATTTCCTGGATTAGATTAGAGCATGGATCTGACTTCCATGTTGGATGCCCTCTCATCCTCTTACTCACGTGTCCTGAGAAACACCAGCTGCTGTGTGGTGAGCTGCTCTACAGAGAAGCTCCTGTGGCAAAAGACTGATGTCTGGCCAACAGCCAAGGCCTGCCAACAGCAACACTGACTGCAAGCGGCCAATAGCCATCGGGGAAGTGGATTTTCCCATGTTGAACTCCATGACTGAGCTCCAAGAGACTTTGAGCCAGAGGCACCCAGGTTTCTGCCTCAGAGAAACTGGGAGATGATAAATGCTTGTCATTTTATGACCCAATATTACTGGCATTTAATTCCAGTCAACATAACTTACATACTGAGCAGAAGCATGGCATTATGCAATGGACCAGACAAAAGAACAGTTCTATCCCACCTCAGAGCGGGAGGAAAAACTTTGATCATTAGAAAAGTATGGAGCTGTCCAAAGTCCAACGATGAGTTACATGCATTAAGAAACACACAGGCTGCTGGTGGTGGTGGTGGTGGTGGTGGTGGTGGTGGTGGTGGTGGTGCACTCCTTTAATCCCAGCACTTGGGAGGCAGAGGTAGGCAAATCTCGGTGGCCAGCCTGGTCTACAGAGTGAGTTCCAGGACAGCCAGGGCTACACAAAGAAACTGTCTCAAAAAACTAAAAAAAAAAAAAAGGAGAACAAGACAAGACAGACAGACAGACAGAGGCTGTGAAATGCTTTAAACCAGCATGTCTTATTATGTCCGTGGATTTTGGTAGTGGTGGTGGTGTTTCATTTTGTTTTATTCTAGAATATTTTCTTTAAAAAAAAATTTTTTTTGAGACAAGTCTTACTATGTACCCCTGTTTGCCCCAGAACTCACTGTGTAGACCAGGCTAGATTCAAACTTCCAGTGCTTGCAGTGGGAGAAGCCCTCAACCCTGGGAAGGGCTTGCTGGGAGGTGCCCCACCCCCCCCAGTAGCAGGGGAAGCTGCCTGAGAAATGGCTCCTGCAGGAGGAAGGGAGAAGTGGCAGCTTCAGAAGCCGCGGTGTAATTCTGTACCACTCATTGGATGCCAAATTTTGTTTTTATCTAAGTTGTTCTATTACCAATAGAGACTCAGGAGTCAGATATTGGGGTAAAAAACCTGCTAGATCAGAGAAGCAGCAGAGGAGCAGCCTGCTGAGCTTCCTTTTTGACCAGAGACCCAGCAAGCTTGTCTCTCCACATGCCCCAGACCAAAAAGACCAGGAATCTCCAAGCCTTTCCTTAGCATCTTCTCTGTCCGTGTCCCTGGGTCCTCCGTACTTTCTATGGCTAATTCTAGTCACTGGCTCTGCCCCGTGACCCAAGGTTAATCTTATTAACACAGTCTCGTAGTTTCACAGTGAGATCAAATATCCGGAAACACTATGTATCCCTAATTGGCCTGGTCCTCACTGGGTAGACTAGGCTAGATTCAGACTTACAGTGCTCTGCCTTCCTTTGCCTCCCAAATGCTAGGATTAAAGTGTACCCATGATGGCCAGCTCTAAAGATTTATTTTTATTTTACTCATATTTATATATGTCTATATATGTGTGTACAGCACATTGTGTATGGGTGTCTGTGGGAGCCAGAAGAGGGTACTGGATCCCCTAGAGCTGCAATTACAGGCAACTGTAAGCCACCCAACATGGGTGCTGGGAACTGAACTCGGATCTTCTGAAAGAAAAGCATGCACCCTTAACCACTGAGCCATCTCTCTAGCCCCACAATTCTAAAACATTTTCATACTTTACTGGTTGAGCACTCCTAACTAAAAATAACCTAAACTCTTATCAGTCTTAGAATTTGTAACATCTAGATGTGGGATCTGTAACAGGAATGCTCAACTTGTATCACAGTTCCATGGGATTGGGATGCCCAGCTTGTACCATGGTTCCACTGATTTTTGTGCCAGGAAGTTGTGGATTGACATCAAGACAAAAAGCAGGGCACAGGGACTCATGCCCGGCATCTCAACACTTAAGAGGTAGAGGAAGGAAGATCAAAACTTCAAGGTCATCCTGGGTTACAGCCTGGACTACTTGAGACCCTACCTCAAACAAAATAATAAAATGATAGAAAATTAAAACAAACTCTGGAATCTTGAGAGGATCTAAGAAGGAACTGGGGGTTTTCCAGCTCCTGGAACCAGAACTCACCTTAGGCCTTTATCTCCAAGTACAGGGTGGAGACACACTCCCCTGAGAAAGGAGGTTCTAAGAGATACGCAACAGAGCACTAAGGAACATAAAATCTCTGAGCAAAAAAGCAATGTTCTTGTGTTGGCTAATTTTGATTGTAAATTTGGTTGGATTGACAAATACCTAAGAGATATGTAAAGCACACTTCTGGATGTGCAAACCATGAGGGCTTTGATATAATCAATGGATTAATCCCTTGATACATTCATGATAGGTTGGCATTACTGGGAGATGGTGAAGGGTAGGAGATGGGGCTTGACTGGAGGAAATAGATCCCTAGAGAAATGTTCTTTGGGGCAGTATCTTGCCTGTCCTCTTCCTGTGACCCTTTTCTCTGTTTTCTGGCTACCATGATGTGAACTGTTCTCTCCACCATGACCTCCTTGCTCCACCATGACCTTCCTGCTCAATCAAACAATGGAATAATTACAGTACAGATACAGTCAGTTAAGACAAAGATCACTAAGGCGTCAGGAAACTCCCTGAAGACAGAAGAAGAATTCTACGGTGGAAAATGAACCCCCAGTGTTACTGGAAATGCAGCTCAACGGCAGAGCACTTAGCTAGCATGTGTGTGGCCTTAGGTTCCATGCCTAGCACCAGAAGAAAGGAAAGGGCTGACGGAAGAGGGGATAAAAGGGGCAAGGAAGGAAGAAGACAGGAAAAGAAAGAAGCCCCAAAGGTTCCTGCCAAGAGTATCTTTCTACGCAACCACAGAATTCCCTACTAGACTGTGAACTTCCTCGGGGCAGGCACTGGGTTGTACTGTATTGTATCCCTAGGACCTTGATCACAAGAAGCATCAAGTAAAGTTACTAAGCTAATCAATCAAATGAGGAGAGACCCACACACAAAGCAATCACAGTCCAAGACCCAAGAACTGCCTGCCTACCTCTGAGTCCTGGATTTTCTCTATGCCCAAACCCAGCCCAAACCTACACTTACCCGATCAGTGTCCTGAGGGCCCCCATGAGATGCTCCATCAGGGTTAAAATGGTCCCCACAGCTAAGGATGAAAATTAGCAAATAGGTATCCAAATAATAGTGTCTAGGCCCTCTCTCTGACTACCTTTATTCAGTCACTCATTCATTCATTCAACAAACAGACCTATTCTATGCCAGGATTTGGGCAAAGAACATAGAAACTAGCACATGGATTATGCCTTCCTTGAGACACAGAGGAGTAAAACAACCAATCATCTTACAGAAGACACCGATAGACACAGGGCCTCTTCCTTCCCTGTGTTTTGGAGTCACCCTCTACCTCAGATCTTGATTCCAATCATCTGAGGCTTTTCATATGCCACTTAACCTCTTTAAGCCTCAGTTTCCTCATCTGTACACTGGGCCTGTGTCTATATGCCCCCACTAGAGTACTTTTGAGGACAGAAAGTGAAAGTGTGTAGCTACAGGGATGTTACAGATGACTTACCTATTACAATCCTTTGTGAGATCCCCATACTGATGGACATGGAATCCATGCAGCCCAGGCTCCAGGCCATCAATGGTTCCCTCAATCAGGCAGAGCTCAGAGGTCAGCTGTAGGAAGCGGACCACGCCCTGTATGGCATTACGGCCCTCCAGAATGGCTACTGCTGCTCCTAGGTTCTCTGCAAGGTATGAAATGCTCACTGTCTTTCCATCTCACCCAGCCCCTGATGGACCAGCCTGACTCCATTTTAAGAATAAAAGTCATCTGGTTACAAGGTCAAAATAAGTTCATTCCTGTTTTCTGTAAAACTTGGGTTTGACCATGTATTGATCCATTTTCTGGAATCTGACATGTTCTACACCCTCCACCCTGACCTTCACCTTGATAAGATAAAATGTTCTGCCAAGTTACCAAAAGCCTTGGAACCCTCCTAGTCTTGCAGTTTTTTGGGGGGGCTATATAAGCCCCACTTTTTCTTATGTTCAAAGCTATTTGAGAACCTCGCTTTAGGGAGATAGCCCTATCTAACAAAAAATAAACCTTGCTTAATTCGACTAAAGAATTTGGGTCTTTACTCTTGTTCCACAGGATTAACAACCTGTCCTTTCAGCACCTTGGACAGGCAGGGAAGGAATCTCACATAACTTTCATAATCCCCAAAGTCAATCCAGCCCAGTCCTGAGACTCCTGTGGTTAGATTTATACCAGTTCTTGCTCCAGCCCTTCAACCCCAGAGGACAAGGCCAATACTATAAGCAGTCACTCACGTAACTGGCTGCTGCCCATGCCCTTGAGTACAGCCTGTCTCCCTGTGCTTTCCAGGAGTGCTTGCACCTCCTGGCTGGGAAGAGTGGTCTGCACCAACACCATTTGGTTCTCCAATTGCACCTCCACACTCTGGACACCTGGTAGAGACAGAGGGAGAGGTCAGCAGAGGGCTGGCATCACATGGTAGCACAACATTTCCCCATCCTCATTTTTACAAAGCTTCACATGGCCAGAGGTAAAACCTGGGAGCTTCCTTCTATTATTAAGAACTTAGGTGTGGTATTTTTGTGAGTCCCGTGTATGTCTGTAATGTGAGGAGTGGAATTCAAAGGCCTCTCACACACTAGGCAAGTGCCCTATCACTCACTGAGCTACACTCCGGCCCATTTTTTGAGTTCTTATTACATGTCAGATATTATCTTACTTTTTAGTTTATTGAGGTAGGGTCTCACTAGGTAGCCCAGACTGGTCTGGAATTCAATATTTAGCCCAGCTTGGCTTTGAACTTGAGGTGAGGTGATTCCTCTGCCTCAACTTTCTAAATTCTAGGATTACAGGCATGTCCCACCATACCTGGCTTATAACTTTTGAAACATAGAAAATTCTTTTTTTTTTTTTTGGTTTTTTGAGATAGGGTTTCTCTATGTAGCCTGTCCTGGATCTCGCTCTATAGACCAGGCTGGCCTCAGACTCACAGAGATCCACCTGGCTCTGCCTCCCAAGTGCTGGGATTAAAGGCGTGCGCCACCACCGCCTGGCAAAAATTCTTTATAAAAAATTTTTATTAAAAGTGGGCTAACCTGGAACCTATATATAAAGGTGGAAGAAGAGAACTGACTCCTCAAAGTTGTCCTTTGCCCTCCATATACACGCTGTGACATGGGTGTCCCCCACTAAGCAAATAAATAAATCTTAAAAGTGGGCTAACTATATCAGCATTATTAATAACGGCTGAAAGCTGAACATTACCCAAATGTCCATCAACTGCGTGACAAGATATGAAGTACAAACACATGCTGCAGCATAGATGAGGGTATCATTCTGCTACATGCAAACCAGCCGCAAATGGCCACATGGAGTATATGGTATCGACAGGAAATAGATTAGAGGACGGTGTGTGTGTGTGTGTGTGTGTGTGTGTGTGTGTGTGTGTGTGTGTAATAGGAAGGTGATAGAGGATACAAGATTTCTTTAGACAGTAATGAGTATACAACCAATAGAGATGCTGGCTGCATAGCTCACTGAATGAATTAACTGAACTGTATACTTCAAATGGGTGAATTTTGTAGCATGTGAATTTTAGCTCAACAAAGCTGTTACACACACTAAGAAAGAGGGGACCACTGCTCCATCCCGAGAGCTGACAATGAGCACGTACCACGAACTCAGTCTCTGTGTTATTTAAGATTTATTTATTATGTGTATGAGTGCTCTGCCCACATGTATATATGTGCACCATTTGCAGGCAGTGCCTGCAGTGGCCCTAAGAGGACCCCTGTGAGCCACCATGTGGGTGCTAGAAACGGAACCCAGGTCCTCTGCAAGAGCAGCCCATGTTCTTACCCCTGTGTCATTCCTCCAGCCCATTAAGCCCTTTTTGATGCGTTTTACCTACATGGCTTCATTTCATATTCACAGTAACCCCGGGAAGTTATCTCTGTTTTACAGATAAGGAAATCAAGGCACAGAACAATGAAGCAATTTATTGAAAGTAGGTAAATTGCAGAACTGCAACTCAGTCCAGGGAGCCTAGCTACAGAGCAAAAACAATGAACCCAAACCTTCTACTCACCCTAAGAAGAGCCCCTAGCCCAGGCTTCCTAGGACTCCCCCAACGCCCCCCCCCCACCTCCGCTGAGCAGTCCACCTGCACTGACTACAATCCTTTGTATGTTTTGGAATGGTAAGAGAAATCTAATGCAGGAGCCATTCCACTAAAATAGCACACTCTGGCCAAAGCTTTTCCAAGATATAGTAGGGCTTGCTACTTCCTATAAAGCATTCTTGCTGGAAAAACAGACAAGCAGGGCTTCAGCTGGACACAGAGCAATTTCAAGGCTTCAGTGGGTTTCTTAGGCATCAAAAAGAGACTTCTGATAACCATGTTTTCTGGTCTGAGTAAGTGAACCAGTTTGGCTTTCTCATAGCTGGGCAGGAGAGTTTCAGTGTACAGAATACACTGAGCGAGCGAGTTGCCCAAGGCCTTGGGAAAGAGAGCCTTACTCTCCTCCCTGGGGCAAATGGGAGGAGCTCCAACTTCACATCTGCCCTACAGTAACTGTGGCCTCTCTTTTCTCCTCACCGAGCCCTACCAAAGCGCGGCTTGGCCATACTCCAAGAGCCACCTGTCAAACAGAACCTCTGCTCTGCTGGAAACACTACCTTCTTCTGGAGCAGACTGAGCCAGGAATTTAAGAGGGGATAGTCACAAAGCATTCTGCTCTGTCCTTCCCACATCAAGAGCACAGTGTCAGCTCCTCCTGGGAGTTCTTGGGTCTGGGAATCCACCCTATGCCCAGGCCAGGCTATCAGAAAATCTTATCTGCTGTATGTGCAAAACACATTCAGGCCTCAGCACTTATCCTAGACACCTCTCTTCTCCTTAGCCTGCTCAAGAACCCTATCTATGGGCTCCCTGTTTTCTTTGTTGACGCCTTAGTACAGCGGTTCTCAACCTTCCTAATGCTGCAACCTTTTAATATAGTTCCTCATGTCGTAGTGACCCTCCAACTATAAAATTATTTTTGTTGCTACTCCATAACTGTAATTCTGGTATTGTTATGGATTGTAATGTGTAAATATCTGATATGTGACCCCTGTGAAAGGGTCCTTCAGCCCCCAAGGGGTCACAATCCACAGGTTGAGAACCATTGCTTTAGTATCTTGCCAAGGTGGTTTTCCTTTTCTTTTCTTTTTTTTTTTTTTTTTTTGGTGTGTATACATGTGTAGTATGCACGCATGTGTGTATGCATGCTCCAGAGTCTGGGGGCATATACTAGGTTGGTGCATATGGAGGCCATATGTCTTCCTTGGTTGCTCTCTTACCTTTTCTGTTGAGGCAGTTTCTGTCACTTGAATCAGAGAACACTGATTTGGCTAGTCTAGCTAGCAAGCTTGCCCTGGGACTGCAGGTGGGCTGCCACCCCTGTCTGGCATTTACGCAGGTGCTGGGAATCTCATACTGATGCAGCTAGCACTTTTACCAGCTCAATCATTTCCCTAGCCCCAGCAGGTAAACTATTTTTGGCACAAGATTGACAGCTGGAAGCAGAGAAACAACACCACCAAGTTGTCCTGTGACCTCCACATGCATAACCCCCCTCCCACAAACACATCATGTACAAATTCACTAATAATAAATTTAAAAAAAATCAGTTCCAGGCTGGTCGTGGTGGCACACACCTTTCATCTCAGCACTAGGGAGGCAGAGGCAAGCAGATCTTTGTGAGTTGAAGGCCAACTTGGTCAGGACAGCCTGGGCTATGTATAGAGACCTTGTCTCAAAAAAAGAGAGAGAGAGAGAGAGAGAGAGAGAGAGAGAGAGAGAGAGAGAGAGAGAGAATCAGCTCCCCAGTCTCCTCCTAGCACACCACCTTTGCCTCTAGGCCTTTCCTCTCACAATCCCCTGAGATTAACTGGGCGCTCACTACATGTTCGAGACTTGCATCAACGAATTCATTCTTCATGACAATCCTGAGTTATGAACACCATTCAAACACTGCAGAAACAGAGGCATAGAAAGGAAGCATGAGCCAGGCAGCGGTGGCACACGCCTTTAATTCCAGCACTCGGGAGGCAGAGCTAGGCGGATCTCTGTGAGTTCGAGGCCTGCCTTGTGAGTGAGATGAGATCCAGGTCAGGCACCAAAACTACACAGAGAAACCCTATCTCGAAAAAAAAAAAAAAAAACCAGTAAGAAAAAGAAAGCCAGTTTCCAGTGTCCCGAAGATGACTCTGCCTTTCATCTTTCTAGTTGTGCCAGGCTGCAAACTTCCTGGCTTAAGCTCCCTAAGTGGGGCCAAGACTGCTGTTTGCTTTACCAGAACAGCAAGACCTCAGGTGTCCCTCAGACCGCCCTCGATAGGAGGAGCTATACACTCCGGCTGGCTCCTGAGGCTCAGCGGGCGGGACAGGCAGAGTTAGTAGAGAGAGCTCTGGCAAGCCAAGCTTGAGGCCTGCACTCTAGGCCTCTAGGCTGTGCCCCTGGGTCTCTGTGTGACTCTGAGGAGTTTCTTTTCGTTCTCTAAGTATCTCTCTGAATCTGTATAACGGGAAGAAGGCCAAACATAAACCTTTGGGCTGATCCTTTATCAGAAAGCTTTATCCTGCTCTTACCTGTCACCCCTTGCAGGGTCTTGTGCACCGCGTCCACACAGCTCTGACAGGTCATCTGCACTGCAAACTCCAGCTGTAAGGGAGGCAGGGCTAGGTACATGTCAGGCATTATCCTGATTCACCACCTTCCCTAGGATGACTCTGGGCACACGTCAAACATGACTTCTGTTCAAATTCCTTCTTCATTATCTCATGAGCATTCCAGGATGGTGGTCTCATCGTCCCACACCCACAATGCGAGAGGCAAACCTATCCTCACCCGGGGATTTCATCCCTCCCCAGGAGCCTGCTCTTTCCTGGCTTCCCAAGATAACGAGCACCCCAAGGGCTGAAGTTATGCGAGGCTTCCCACGAAGCTTCTACTCACCGCGCACATGGTCCCACCGTCCCCGGAATCCGACGCCATCTGGGATGTAGTCAACTGCCTGGGCAGCAAAACAACTAGGGTCCAGAGACCAACACTACTCAGTCTTGTGGGGTGGGCGGAGCTTCAAGAGCCACCCTTTGCTCCACCTCCTTGGCGCGTGCGCATGCTAGGCCTAGGCCTACCGGCTGCGCAGGCGCATTGATGCCATTGGCCCTGGTTTCCTTAGTAACCATTTGGCGTCCTCCACCGGCTCAGCGGCGCCACCTGCGTAAAGATGGAGCCACAGAATCAGGAGCCCGACCTCAAGCCGGTTTACCACCGGTTGCTGAGTCCGCTGTCTCTCTTCCCCCGCAAGGCGACGCCTCCAGAGCCTCCGAAGAGACGCTCGCAGGAGGTCTCGACTTTGCAATCTATCCCGCTCGCGAAGCTAAAAGTGGGACCGCTGTGCCGCCAGGTATCCAAGCGACTAGCAGGCAGCGGGCGGGCGGCGCGGGTGACTCCCAAGGATCGACTCCGACTCACCCAGGTTATCCTAGATGAGCTGAAGTGCAGCTGGCAGGAACCTCCTACAGATCCTATTTTGAACTACGAGAACAACCAGAAGCTGCGGAAGCGGTTGGAGTCCTACGTGCTGATCTGTAGTGAGCAGCTCTTCATACGCTACCTGCACCTGCTGGTGACCCTGCCGGCCACTAGAAGGGTCTTCACTGAATCGGCCACCCTCAGCCGGTTGGCAACCAACCTTGCCAGGGATTGCACAATCTTCCTCACCAGTCCCGATGTCTACCGCTGCCTGCTGGCTGATTTTCAGACCCTGCTGAATTTAGAGCAGACCCGGAGAGGCATATCCAAGCTGCGCCCCCCAGTCTGTCCCCCTGGGACTTTCAAACTCTGTCCAATCCCCTGGCCCCACAGCACCGGCTTGGACCAAGTGCCATGCTCTAGCCTCAACCTGAACTACCTTGTCCAACTCAGCCGCCCATGTGATTTCCCCAGTGAGCCCGAACCTGATCCAGTGAAGGAGCTGAAATCTATCCCCCAGCTGAAGGGTAAAAATCGGCTCCTCTGGGTGCCCTCCGCAAAAAAGGAAAAGGAAGTTGAAGTGAGTTCCGCACAGATGGTACCACTGCCTAGCCATTCTCCTCCTAGCAGTGAGATTTCCCACTTCCCCACTTCACCAATCTACCCCAGGCTCCTGAGGGGCCAGTCCATGCCCTGTCTTCGTGAAGGGTGGAATCTGGCAGATGAGTTGGGCCTCCCTCCTCTCTCCCCTCATCCTCTCACCCCACTGATCTTGGCTCCAGAGAGTAAACCACTGCCGTTTGGGGACCTGGCGGCTGAGGATCTGAAGCAGAAGACAAAGATTATGGCAATGGAGTGGGCTCGCTACTCACCACTGGAATCTGGCCTGCCCCCACTCCTCGGGGTCCTTACCAGGCGCCTAACTGCCCAGCACCACATAGAGAACCTGCAGCAAATGCTGAAGAGCCTGCAGGAAGAAGAAGCCTCCGGACAGTGGGATCTCCGCCCCCCAAGAATCGCTCCACTTCACCCACAGCCAGTGACTATTACGTTGAAGCTACAAAATCAGGTCGTGGTCCAAGTAGCTACTGTGCAGCTCTCTGACAGACACTTTTCTGACACTTTCCACGTTGAGGGGGCTGGAGTCCTATACAACCATCTGGCTGGGGAACTGGATTGCAAAGCCATCGAAGAAATGGATTCTGATCGTCTTGTTGGCAATAGCACCAAAGAGGTGTACAAGGAATTGATGAGCCGAGTCTCTACTAGTCACCTCTCTTTTGATGAAGGACCCCAGATTGAGCCCTCGGCAGATAAAGATTGGTCCATCTTCCTGTCCTCTGCTTTTATATACCAAGATAAACATAACCCTGTCATCAACCATGATCTGGTTGGACTTTATTCCAAGAGATCAAGCACTCAGCTGTTGTGCCCTGAGAAGACGCCTTCTCCCACATTACTCCAAAAGGGCAGAAGCTGGGACAAGTGGCCAAACAAGACTGTATGGATGAACTGGTGGAAAACCTCTGTGTCTTCGGAAGACTACTTAAAGTACCTCATCACTCAGGAGACAGATTTCCTCCATGTCATCTTCCAAATGTACGAAGAAGAGGCTTCTGTGGAGATACCGGTCCCTGCCAAACAGTCCCTGGAGATCCAGCACCCTCCTCCGCTGCTGGAGGATGAAGAGCCAGACTTTGTGCCAGGAAAGTGGGATTGGAGCTCAGTGATAGAGGACAGCTCAGGACCTGGGAAAGCCCACATCCTAAATCTGCAGCAGCGTCTAGAACGACTGTGGGTCGTGTTGGAAGTCCCTGACCAGAGCCGGCTGGACATGGTCATTAAGTACAGCTCCAACGCACGCCTGCAGCAGCTACCAGCATTGATCAGGGCCTGGGAGCGGGTCCTGAAGCCCATTCAGACACGGGAGTTGTTGCTAGGGAGACTGGAGTGGTTTGAACGACAAGCCTCTGACCCCAACCGGTTCTTCCAAAAGCCTGATTTGATGCTGAGTCGACTCCTGGAGGAGAATCAGATCCGGAGCCATATCCAAAGGAAGCTCAGTCTAATGGAGTCTTCTTTGATTTCCTTGCTGGAAAAGATAGAGTTAGTGTTTGGGGAGCCAGTGACCTTCAAAGGGCGACCTTATCTAGAGAAGATGAAGCAGGACAAAGTGGAGATGCTCTATTGGCTCCAGCAGCAGCGGCGGGTTCGCAATCTGCTCCGGGCCCAGAGAGCCTTCCACCAACCGTCCATACTTGCAAGGAGCCGCAGCCGGGCTTTAATAGCTCCTGGGAATAGTCCTATTGCCCGCTAAGGAGACCAAATGTCCTCAAAGTCCTTCCTCACCCCCCAAACACCCAGACACTCACATAGACCTCTCAATGGCTTTAGAACAACTATGATATTTCTACAAGGGACTGAGATTCTTTGTCTTGGCATTCTAGATAAAAGGATTCCCCAAACCTGGTATTCCATGTATGTCAACAGTGCCGCACAATACAACCAGAATCCCTTATCAGGTGGTCCCTTGGAGTTCATTATAACAGAGAAGGTCAGGCAGAGCAAGTCATGATCTTGAAAATAATTGTTTAGTGTCACTATCTTACTATATTAAATTGGCTGATTAGAGCTCCAAGTCACTCGTGTTTAGGCTCAATAGCATAATACTTAAGTGCTACAGCTCTGATATTAACAGATGTATGTAAATCCTGTCTGTATGGCTTAGGTCAAGTTGCTAAACTTCTCAGTACTTGTCAAATGAGGAGTTAGGTCCCAGTTGTGACTTCTAGTGCTCACACATTGTTGGCAGGGCTGAAACATTTTTTCTTTCTTTTTCCTTTTTTTTTTCTTTTTGAGACAGATTTTCTCTGTATATCCCTGGCTGGAACTCACTCTGTAGACCAGGCTGGGCTCAAACTCAGAGATCTACCTGCTTCTACTTCCCAAGTCCTGGGATTAAAGGCATGTGGCACAGCTACCAGCTTAAAGCATCCTTAATTAGATTTTTACTTGTTAATAAAAGCACTTGGTATATAAAAATGTGTACTGAAAAGTAAGTTTCTGGGGCTGGAGAGACAGCCTAGTGGTTAAGAACATGTGCTGCTCCTCCAGAGGTCTGAAGTTCGATTCCCAGCATCTACATCAGGCAGCTTGCAACCACCTGTAATTCCAGCATCTGACACTCCTGGCATTATCTGGCACCTGCACATATGCACACAGACATATACATGCACACTCATACCTACACAATTAAAAATAATAAAAGTTAGCTAGGTGGTGGTGGTGCATGCCTTTAATCCCAGCACTTGGGAGGCAGAAGCAGACAAATCTCTGAAAGTTCAAGGCCAGCCTGGTCTACAGAGCAAGTTTCAAGACAGTCAAGACTGTTACACAGAGAAACCCTATCTTGAAAAACCAATAATAATAGCAACAACAATAAAAAACAAAAAGTAAGTTTCTTTTCTATCTCTAATCCTCAATTTCCTTCCTTGCAGATAACAATTGTTATCATATTCTGTATTTAGCAAATATTTGTTGAGCATCCACAAGGTGTTAAATTCATAATCTGTATGTTGCTTTCCTCTTTGATCTTTTTGTTTTTTTGTTTGTTTTGCAATAAGTTCCAGGGAATACAGTCATCATGGAGGGAAGGTATGATGACAGGCACAGGGTATGGTTGGTCACATTACATCTACAGAGAAAGAGGAAGGCTAAATCTGTACAAGCTGCTGCTGCTTCTCCTCCTCTTCCTCTTCTTCCTCCTCCTCCTCCTCTTCCTCTCCTCCTCTTTCTTCTCCTCCTTCTTTGGTTTTTTTTTTTTTTTTTTTTTTTTTTTTTTTTTTTTTTTTGGTTTTTCGAGACAGGGTTTCTCTGTGTAGCTTTGCGCCTTTCCTGGAACTCACTTGGTAGCCCAGGCTGGCCTCGAACTCACTTAGATCCGCCTGGCTCTGCCTCCCGAGTGCTGGGATTAAAGGCGTGCGCCACCACCGCCCGGCTCCTTCTTTGGTTTTTTGAGACAGGGTCTCACTATGTAGCTCTGGCTGTCCTGGAACTTATTATATAGATCAGACTGAACTTAAATTCACAGGGATCCACTTGCTCCTGCCTCCTGAGTGCTGGGATTAAAGGTGTGCACCACCATGGCTGACCTATCTATAGCTGGAGTTTTCTCCAGTCCTGCCTGGGCCCTCAGCCACTCAGACCAAAATAAACACACAGAGGCTTTTTATTAATTAAAACTGTATGGCTTAATGGCTCAGGCTTCTTGCTAGCTAGATCTTACATCTTAAATTAACCCTTAATTCTTATTTATGTTTAGCCACGTGGTTTGGTACCTTTTCCCAGTTCTGCCTTCACATTCTTGCTTCCTCTGTGTCTGTCTGGCGACTCCTGACTCAGCCTTCCTGTTCCCAGAATTCTTCTCTCTTTGTCCTGCCTGTACTTCCTGCCTGGCTACGGCCAATCAGCACTTTATTTATTAACCAATCAGAGCAATACATTCATAGCATACAGAACGATATCCACAGTGCCTATCTTTCTTCTTTTTATGCAACCCAGGACCCTTGTCCTTGGAATGATGCTACCTCATTTAGCATTGCCCCCACCCACTCAATCTAATCTAGATAATCTATCAGACATGTCCAGAGACCTGTCTCTTTGGTGATCTTAGATCCTATAAAGTTAGCTGTATTAATGATGATGCCATCAGTAAGTGAATTAAAGAGCTCTTCTCTCTCTGTGTCTCTCTGTGTCTCTCTCCCTCTCTCTCTGGTTTTTGAGAGGGGGTTTCTCTGTGTGTAGCTCTGGCTGTCCTGGAACTCACTCTGTAGACAAGATCTCTTCTCTTTGTTTACATTCTACTGGCAATAAACAGACCATAAACATGGCACTAAGCACATGGAATAATACAATGTTCAATGGTGGGAGTACTGTGGGGAAAAAGAGAAAAAATATTAAGGGAAGGGGAAATTAAGGGTGAGTAATATTTTAATTAAGGTGATCAGTGCAAGCCTCACTGAGAAGACAAAATCTGAGCAAAGGCAGAAGGTGAAAAACAAAGCCTGTAGACCCCTGGGAGAACATTCCTGACAGCCATCAAGGAGCTAGCTCCAAATCAGCAATGCTCAGGCTGCTCCAGGGACAGCAAGGTGTCCTGAGCCAGAGGAGGGGAATAAGAGGAAGAGGCGGACCAGACAAAGTTGTTGCAAGATACCAAAAGGCAGGGCCGGGGAGATGACTCAGCAGTTAAGAGTGCTCACTGCTCTTCCACAGGACCCAAGTTCAGGTCCTAGCACCCACATCAGGTGGCCCACAACCTCCTGTAATTCCAGTACTTGGGAATCCAATGACCTCTGACTTTATCAGGCTCCAGGCATACACATGATGCACATAAACTCATGAAAGCACACACACACACACACACACACACACACACACACACACACACACACACAGTCTTTAAAAAACAAAGATGCCAAAAGGCAAGCTAGACTATGTGAGGTCTGATAAGCCATCGTAGGCACTGTTTCAAAGGCAGCCTACGTACACAGGAAGCATATATACATGCATTATGTGTTCAAGTATTTATAGCTACACCAGTTGAAGAATGGTATGCTATTTTCTCCCTTGCTCCCCTTCCCCTTGCCTTTTTTATAAACTGCCTCAGGTTCTATATATATAGTTTTGTCTCCCTATATATAGGTATATATACTAACATGTAAATAAGAATGTATGCAATATATAATATAGCTGCTTCATTTTATTTTTTACTGTGGGGCCCAGGCTTGCCTAGAACTCTCTCCATAGCCCACTGCTTCATTCTTTTGACAACCATACAGTATTCTGTGCTTATATTTCATTTAATGAGTCCCTTGTTACTGGACATTTTGAGCCAAAAAGAATGCTCTGAAAATCATATACATGCATTTAACATGTGAAAATCTCTAGTTCCTAGAGGTGGAATGTGTAATTATTTTTGAGACAGGGCTCATTATGTAGTTCTGGATGGCCTAGAACTTGTTACATAGATCAGACTGGCTTCCAACTCACAGAGGTCCACCTGCCTCTATTTCCCAAGTACTGGAATAAAAGGCTTACACAACCATACTCAACCTAAGGATAATTTTTTAATTTTAATTTTTAAAGCTTTATTATCTAAGAGATGAAAAATAGCTCCTTTGTCAGCCAGACGTGGTGGCACACACCTGTAATCAGAGCACTCATGAAGATGAGGCAGGAGGATTGCCACAAGTTCAATACCAGTTTGGGTTATGTAATGAATCTGAGGTCAGTCTGGACTGCAAAGCAAGAACTTGTCTAAAACAAAACAAAAAAAAAACCCAAAGAAACAAACGAACAAAAAAACTATATATGAAATTTCTTCTTTGTGGGCTGGTAAGATGGCTGAGCAAGTCAAGGCATTTGCTGTCAAGTCTGACGACCTAAGTTGAATCCCCAGGACCTACATGAGTGGAAGGAGAGAACTGGCTCCCACAAATTGTTCTCTGGCCTCCATGAGCATAGTGTACACACACACACACACACACACACACACACACACACACACACACACACCACACTTCTTTGTGTGTGCACATACGCAGGTATGTTGTGGGTGTATTTTAGACTGGAGGTCAATTTTAGGTGTAACTGTTTAGGAGTCCTCCACTTTATTTTTTTGGACAGGATCTCTCATTGGCCTGAAGCTCAGCCAGTAAGCCAGGCTCAGGGCCAGTGACTCACCTACCTCTGCCCCCCAGCCCATGCCTAGCTTTTTAGACAAGAGCTGGGGGTCAAACTTCGGTCTTCATGCTTACATGGAGACACTTTACCAACTGAGCTATCCCCTAGCCCTGTATCTTTTTCCTTACCTCCTTTTTTTTTTTTTTTACAGTGTCTCACAATGTTGCCCTGTATTGGTGAAATTATTAAGGCCACTCCACGTAGTTAAAAGAGAGGTTTATTTTGTGGGGTAACTTACAAGTGAAGGGATAGGTAGGTTGCAGGGTCTGGGAAGACGCAGCGCAGTCCGACGGTGTTCTCTGGAGAACTCTGCTCGGTCTACCTCCAGTGTCCAGGGTCCAGGAACCAAGAAAGCTCCCCCATCCGGATCTCGGGTCTTCAGGGGTCCTCCCTCAGCTCTGCCTTGTAGGCATGACAGTTACCTAAGCCTCAAAGGGGGTGGTATTTCCAGGTCAAAACTGGAACGGCTACCCACAACAGCCCTGGCTTGCCGAGAACTCACTATGTAGACCAGGCTAGCCTCAGACTTACAGAGATCAGCCTGCCTCTGCCTCCTGAGTGCTGGAATCAAAGGTGCATACTATCACATCCCGCTTCCTACCCTTATTTGAGGATGTCATAATGAAACCTTTATTGTACCTACTTTTTATTTCTTTCATTTTCAAGATTATTATAATTACATTTCTTCACTCCCTTTTCTCCTTCCAAAGCCTCCCATATACCACTCCTTGCTTTCTTTCAAACTCATAGCATCTTTTATCACTAATTACTATTACATGGATATATGCATATACATATATATTCCTAAATATAACTTGCTTAGTCTACATTACGTTATTTGTTTTTTGATTATTTTGTTGTTTATTTTTGAGACAGGGTCAATCTATTATACAGCTCTGGCTACAGGACCTGGCTGTATAAACCAGGCTGGTCTCAGATTCACAGAGAACCACCTGCCTCTGCCTCCCAAGTGTTGGGACTAAACACCACACCTGACTGAGTAACATTATTTATAAGTATGTTTTTAGGGCTGACAATTTGGTATTAGACAACCGGTTGGCATGCTCCTCCCTGCAGAAGACGATTTCTCCAACTCTCAGTGTTCCTTAGTTGCCTGTAGATCTGAGGCCTTGGGGGCTCCCCCTGGCCCCCTACCCCGTTCCCTTTAACACGTCTATTAACGTTGTCCTAGTTCAGCTCATGTTTAGGGAGTCATGTTGGTAAGACTTTATGGGTATAGTTTCTGAGGATACTAGAAGACACAATCTCACAGAAAACTCTCTGAGTCTCTGTAAGATTGAAGAGCAATATTTTCACCCCCTCTTCCAAAATGTTCCCTGAGCCTTAGGTCGGGGAGTGTTTTGTAAATGTAGCCATTTGGGACACATCTCTACACAACTCTACATTTTAATTGGTTGTGATTTTCTATACTACTCTCTGTTTGTTTCAAAGAGAAGTTTCCTTGATGAGGGGTGAGGACAACACTTGTCTGGGAATCAGGACAAATGTTTAGACTGTGGTCAGGGATAGTGCTGGTTTAGTAAAGTGGTTGTAGGTTCTCCTCCAAGATCCTTGACCTCCCTAGTCCTGAGTAGCTAGCTGGCTAAGTTCCCAGCACCAGGCATTGTTCCCCTCTTGTTCAGTGGGTCTGAAGTCGAACTAGACAGTTGTTGGTTACCACCGAGGTACACTTGTCACCACTGCACCTTTGTGGTTACTGTGCCGTGCTGGCTGTTGATGTGGCACACGGTGTCATAGGACTGCTGATTGCTTCCCTCCTTCCTTCCATGGAACCTTGCGTGGATCTTCCTGGTGTGACATGAAAGCTGGTCCTCAGGAAGGAGGCA